GTACCTATCACTTTCTTTTTAATTATTTGCTATTTGCTATCTCTTATTGGTATGCTTTCTTTTATTTGGTACCTTTAGTTTTTTCCCTTTCAAATTCACCTTTAATTTCAACAAAAATTTAAAGTCAATTAATTATTTCCTCTTTTTTTTCGCATATATTTTTTGAATAAAATATTTGAAATTTAAGAAAAGTAGAAGTATTTGTTTTGGTCTGGTAATATAAATAGGAATTTTCAAGTTCAAAAAAAAAAAAATAGAAAATTCAACGTGCTATCCTTTGCCCTCTTCCTTTCAATCTCTTGCTGATATCTTGAGTCATTCTGTAATAATCTACCAAATGGCTTTATCATATTTTCATAGTGCTTCTTGTAGAGTACTACTAGACCCATTGTAGCATACTTTCGTTGGATTTGAGGACAATAACTAATCTGAGCAGAAGAATGGAAGGTATATTCCAGGACTCAGGAAGACACGATTCGTTCGGTTAAAGAAGAAGGAGAATTGGTTCCGGATTTTCGCAATGCTTTTGAAAGAGCAGAATGGGAACGAGAACAACAAAAATTGGATCGTGATTGGTACGGCAATGACCAAGGCTATGATGACGAAAACAATCCATTTTCTCAGGTTCTTCCTTTTGGTTTAAATCCTTGTTTTAGGAAAGATGACAGGTAATGATGAATCGTCTTTTGGATATGCGAAAACTTCGACGGAGAAATTTTGAGAAACGCAGATTACAGCTCAGGCTGTTGACCATTAATTTTTTCGCTTAAGTTTCCATGTATGTGTATTGTTTTAAAATAGTGTGGAATATTTCAATTGCTTCTATGATTTCTTATAACAGTATATTATGAGGTCCTTATGACAACGTATTACCGAAGATAGGAATTCCAAAAATTCTTAAATATTAGTTTCTCAGAGATATATGGCATACATTCCTGAATATTGAAATAAAGTTTTACTTATGCTGATCCAGCGACAATTTGGTGCTGAGAAAGTGATATTCATTTTTAATCACCCGATAAGTGAACGGCGTATCAACATATCATATTTCCTTAGATAATTAAAAGTGGACTCTTTTTTCTGCATCCCGTTCAATTCTGTCTTTAATTTCTTTAAAAGCTCAATTTTTTACTATAGTTAAAATTCCAAAAAGATGTTCAAACCATTCATTGCAGGTTTCGCAGGAATATGTAGAAAAGAAAGAAAGACAATGGCAACAAAAACGTGAAAAGCCCCGTCTAACGGTTCGCCAACAGCAAATCAAAAAGGACAATAAAATGTGGGAAAATAATCGGCTAGCAAGATCAGGTTAGCAGCTAATAATTTTGTTGTGTTTTAGTTTATTTTATACATTTAAATTTATTGCATAATTTTATTTTCATGCTTTGTCCGCCTCGAATACCTTTTTTTCTCCCACTAGAATTTCGTATTACAGGCGTGCAAAAATATATCATTGTACACTACTGTTATACTGGTAAGCGAGTTTCTGTCCGTACTCAATGAAATTTATTAGTGGAATATAAAATTTTTGAGGTGTTGTGTCACTTACTGATGACGACGATTTTCTCGATGATGAATCGGATGAAAATCGAGTAACACTGCTGGTGCAGAATGTCGTACCACCATTTTTGGATGGTCGTTTCATATTTACAAAACAAAATAAACCAATTGTTCCTGTGAAGGATGTGACTTCTGATCTTGCTGTTGTTGCTGCGAAAGGAAGCAAGGTAGTTTTTGCAACTTCAAGTTCTAGAACAAATAGTTATTGTTATTTTTTTATTTTTAGAGTTTTGGAAAATTTTGCTATGATTATTTTTTGTTATATTTCTAGAAGGAATAAAAAAAGCTGAGACTAAATCCCAGATATGCTTATGTTTTAACAGGTTGTTCGAATGTGGCGTGAAAAGGAAGAGCAGAAGAAAGCGCAAGAAAAGCATTGGGATTTGGCAGGTTCTAAATTAGGGAATTTAATGGGCGTTAAAGCAGCACCAGATGAGATAAGCAGCGATGATGTTGGGATATGCTATAGGTAGATTCAAGGTTTCCACGAATGTTTTTTCGTAATTTTCTACTGTTTTTGCAAAACTTAGAGCCGTTTTTGTCGCTTTATCCGACTACTTTCAAATTATCATATTTTTTTGGGAAGCTGAATGAGCTAGATTTAACAACTACGACACATACTCCTCAACTTTTGTCAAATTTTAACCCAAATAAATGACTTGGTCTTAGTGCTGTTTTTGAGAATCAATAATCAAAAATTCTTGGTATTTGAAGACCGACTTTGTAACTCTTCTTATACATGTAACGTTTTTTAATGAAGCTGTTATGCTAAATTTCCGTCCGTAACAAAATGTATAAGGGGACATTTTTCACCAGGAATTGTACAACACAATATGCTAGGATTTTAAATGAGGTTAGTGTAAGCGATTAGTTGAGAAAATATGAAACTGTTAATATTTCTGATGGAATTGAACTATTTAATTAAATATTCAGAATAATTAAAATTTCGGTGATCCAGTTAACGCTATTACACTCTTTTATCCGTGTGTAGTAGATCACTGAATAAACTTTTTTTTCTTTTTTTTGAGGGAGTCGCAGCAGTTTGCATCTCACTTGGTCGGATCGGGAGCAGTTTCGGATTTTGCGCTGAAAAAATCCATCAAAGAGCAACGGGAATACTTACCCGTATTTGCCGTGAGACAGAAAATGCTCAGTGTTATTGCAGATAATAGCGTTGTCATTATTGTTGGTGAAACAGGGAGCGGCAAAACAACACAGTTAGCTCAATATTTACTCGAAGATGGTTATGGTTTGTTTTACTTAAACCGACCTTTTATTAAAACAGCTTCAAAATCATGTAATTAATCAGTTTGCTAGCTATTTTCTGTATTACTTTGTAGGGTACTTATGTTAGGTATTACAGGTAATTTTGGTCTAATTGGTTGCACACAACCACGCCGTGTAGCAGCAATGTCAGTGGCAAAGCGGGTTGCTGAAGAGATGGACGTTGAGTTGGGCCAGGAATGTGGTTACGCTATTCGATTTGAAGATTGCACTTCGGAGAATACACGAATCAAGTACATGACCGATGGTATTCTGCTCCGAGAATGTTTGAGTGATCCAGATTTAGACCAGTATTCTGCTATCATCATGGACGAGGCCCATGAAAGGTTTGCTGATTAGACTACTTGGAGAGGCTTTCAACAGATCTAAATAGTTAGCAACTGCTGTAATGCAGCAGAACTCATTAATTTTGAAGGAGTTGCAATGTTATAAATGAGGTCCAATCGACACGCATCAGTTATCTATTAGCTGTTGTAAAATTTTTTTTACTATGCATAATTCTTATTTTATACATAATATATTAAGGTCATTGAACACAGATGTTTTATTCGGCCTTTTGCGAGATGTCATTGCTCATAGAGCTGATCTCAAACTTATCGTCACTTCAGCTACTATGGATGCTGAAAAGTTTGCAAATTTCTTCGGTGGTCATACTCCTTGCTTTACTATCCCTGGTTAGTTACAACAACATTTAAAATATCCTGCCATATTGAAGAAACAAGTTATGATCAAACTCTTTAATTTGATTGTCGGCTTTAATAATGTCATTTGAGATTTATTTCATTTTTCAGTTAGAAGTAAGATGTTATTAAACTGTATTACAAAGGTTCATAATTCATTTACAGGCTGTCACAGGTTCCACGCATATTTACCAATACTGATAGCTTGCAAGTTCTTTTTTTAAAGGTCGTACATTTCCGGTTGAAATGTTTCACGCTAGGACGCCCATGGATGATTACGTTGATGCTGCAGTGAAACAAGCTGTAAGAGTCCATTTGGGTGGTACAGATGGAGATATATTGATATTTATGCCTGGTCAAGAGGATATCGAGGTTTGTATTTCATAAGGAGTGGCTCGAATAACTACGTGCGGGTTAAAGTAAAGTTGGTTGGGGAAAAAGTAGGAATTTTTCCTTCCTCTCATGATTTGTTGTATTCTGCATGTCAAATTCCAGGTTACGTGTGGGATGATCAAGAATCAATTAGAAGAACTGGATGAGGCGCCACCGCTTGCTGTACTGCCGATTTATTCGCAGCTTCCAAGTGATTTGCAAGCAAAAATATTCCAGAAGGCTCCAGGTGGCATCCGGAAATGTATAGTGGCAACAAATATCGCCGAAACATCGTTGACTGTTGATGGCATACTCTTCGTTATTGATCCTGGCTACTGTAAGCTAAAAGTGTTTAATCCTCGTATTGGTATGGATGCACTTCAGGTAGTTTTTGAAAAATAAGTTTGGCTTCGATAGAATTAGATGTGAAGATGTCAAACACTAGTTTATAACCATGTTTTATTAGACCAAACGTCGGACATACTTAATTTATGCTAGCTATCAGGAAGTGGTCGCAAATGATTTTTTTTAAGGTTTTTCCAATATCGCAAGCTTCAGCTAATCAAAGATCTGGTCGAGCTGGTCGAACGGGTCCGGGCCAGTGTTTTAGACTTTATACTGAAAGGCAGTTTAAGGTAATGTTAAATATCCTCTATTCGTGCTGTAGGTAGTTATCTAATATCTCTCAAAAAAGCAAGTACACAGTGAAGAAATGCTTTCAGAAGACTGTGAGAAAACAGTTAAAGAAAATGATTCACTTAGTTATGAAGTCCAAACTTTGCTAAACGGTCTGAGAAGATCGAATATTAAGAGATTTTTTCATGCTGTCTTTTTTTTTTTTTTTTAAAGCATTCTTATATAAGCTTTTGCGATATTACAAACATAATACTGTTCTTCAGATTCTTGAAGCTGTTAACTTATTTAAATTGAAACCTTTCCACTCTGAAATTCCTGTTCCATTTTTTTCTAAAAATTGTAGGGTATTTACTTCATTTGATTTTTTTCTATTGTTTTTTCCTAGGAGGAAATGTTGGTAGCTACTGTACCAGAAATCCAGAGAACAAATCTTGCAAATGTGGTTTTACTGCTGAAATCTCTGGGAGTCGATGATCTATTAAAATTTCATTTTATGGATGCACCTCCTCAGGATAACATGTTGAATAGCATGTATCAGCTGTGGACACTAGGTGCTCTGGATAATATAGGTCAGTCCTTTAAATTTCTTTCTAGTTTGCTCACCTTTACACTTCCGATATAAAATTGCCGGTAATGTGATACAGAATACACTGAAATCAATGTGTCACATTATTGGTAATTCTGGATCCCTAAGAGTACCGAGACAGTATTTGTAAGTTGCGATGACCCGTCTGTAGGCTGTTTGATGTATTTTGCAGTACCAGCTATCCAGTTAGTGGTAGGGCGTAGAATGATTCATTATATCTTTGTTGGTTTAACTTTCTCTCTTTGATTTGAAAGCAGTAGTATCTGTCGATAATGTTTTGCACTGTGATAGAAATAGCTTCCATTTTTTACTCAAGTGCAGCAGTATTTTTCCACTTTTCTAGGTAGACTCACTGACCTGGGTAGAAAAATGGTGGAGTTTCCCTTGGATCCAACTCTTTCCAAAATGTTGATTGTGTCGGAGGGAATGGGGTGCAGTGATGAGGTACTTACAGTCGTCTCAATGCTTTCTGTTCCTGCCATATTTTTTCGGCCTAAAGGACGAGAAGAAGATGCTGATGCAAAGAAAGAAAAATTCCAGGTATGTTATGAAGCAGAACATTTGCTTTATTGCTAAAGTTGATGTGAGTAAAGAACCAGTACATTTCTTCTAAATGTTTTTATGCAAGACGTAATCCATTTATTCGGCATATGTAGCGAAATTATTGATAAACAAAAAAACATAATTCTGAGCGGTTTTTATCGATCAGTTTTTACCGATCAACAACGGTATTTAACTTTTGATGAAAATGCTAAGCTCCTCGCTCATTACAATTTCAAGATATCGCAAAGGGTTTCGTATAAATCATAGATTGGCTGTTGGATAAATTTGTTATCTTCACTTTAAAGCCGCCTGATATGTTATATTTAAATTACTGATTTCAGGTGCCTGAAAGCGATCACCTTACATTCCTGAATGTCTATTTGCAATGGAGACTCCACAAATATTCGACGAAATGGTGCAACGATAACTTCATTCATACTAAAGCTATGAAGAAAGTTCGAGAGGTCAGATTGTCCGTTCAATTATGTAGTGTCCTGTGTCGTCTAAACTTTGCTGTTTGTGCGTAATTTATGTTTCAGATTCTGAAGTTTTCTCCCCATTCTTTTTTGATTAAAAAATAATTTTTTGTACTTAGGTTCGTGCCCAGCTGAAAGACATTATGGACGAACAGAAAATTGAACTGATATCATGCGGTATGAATTGGGATGTTATACGAAAATGTATTTGTTCAGCCTATTTTCATAATGCTGCAAGGTTAGTGAAGTGAAATCAGCTTTTATATGTATTAACAAAGAGTTATTCTCAATTTTATTTTTAAAATTTTCGTATTACAGATTGAAAGGAATTGGAGAATATGTTAATGTGAGAACAGGCATTCCTTGCTTCTTGCATCCAACATCCGCACTTTTCGGTATTTTTTGGATTTAATTGGTAACTCGAAATTCGCTTACACTACGGATCGATTGGGGATTCGGAATCTTTCTGTTATATATTTTAGACCACCTTTGGTTTCATCAGCACCGATAGACACAATTTCGTTAGGAGTCTCAGAGTTCCCTTCCTGGGTCCTATCATTATTCTATTGTTTTTTACAATCAATTTGTGTGTGGATTATATTGAAGTCTAAAGAAAAATTCTTGTTAATCTCATCATTTTAGGAATGGGATATATGCCAGATTACGTTGTATATCACGAACTGATCATGACAGCGAAAGAATATATGCAATGTGTAACATCAGTTGAAACACCATGGTTAGCTGAACTTGGGCCTATGTTTTATTCTTTGAAAGAAGCTGGTTCAAGCAGGATTGAGAAAAGGCTACAAAGTATGCAAGATGCTCGAGACATGGAAGAAGAAATGAAACAGGTGACTTTGATATTTTTCTGAGGGAAGCATTAAGAGTGGTTTTTTTTTTTGATTGAACCAAACGTTTAAATTCATTAAGTGTTGAATATTTAATTCAGTGAAGATCAGACATGCTGTTACTATGGTTTTTGTGAAAATCGCTGGTACCTGTTCCGTTACTTAATTCTTTGCTGCTGCTATAATTTTGGCTTTAACTGTGCCTTCAGTCATCTTCCAAATTAATTTAGTTTCAAGTTCCACTTTTTTAAAGATCATTTTTTTAGGCTACCAGCAGAATAAATGAAATAAAAAAAACAGAACAAGAAAAGAGTCATTCCGTGCGTTCATTTTCATCTGCACAGATAGCAGAACCTGGAAAAGTTTGTGCATCTGTAAGGTCTTCGACAAGGTTTGGGATGTAGTCATTGTCTCGGAATATACTCTTTTTTTATGTTGAGGCGAAAACATTCTCAATTAGTCGCGTACATATTGGGAAGTTATTGAATTTGGGTAAACCTGCACTATAGATAAATGGCATTGTTGTATTTGACTTTTTTTGCACATATTCAAGATTTTGGATTGGCGATTAACTGAGAAAACAAAAAATGTTTCATTTGCCATAAAACGATAAATTTAGAAGATTCTTGACTTTCATCAGTATACAATAATGAAATGATAGGCGGAGGTTAAAAGAATGATCATGTTATGAGTCTTCAACTTTAGGGTGGAATCTGGGAAATTGCGCTGGAAAAAGGAACAATTTTTTTCTTTATTTTTTCGAGGATTTATGAAATCCATCTTTTTGTGTTAAATTTTACAGAAGGTTCTAAAGTTTTTGCTGTTAATTTCATCACATATATAATTTCAATCGTTTTTTTATAGTGAATATCATTTCTGTATTTGTGTTTTTGGTAAGCTGTACCGAGTTATTAGATATTCAGTGGATGAACTGCACTGTTTGTTGTCAGAGAGGATTGTATCCATAGCAGTTTCCATTGTATTCCAATCAGCTGATATTGCTACTGCATTGTATTTGCCGTCATTTTTTTTCTTGAAATCATTAATGTAGTGCTTATTTTGTAAATTATGCTTTATTACACTGTTCTCTCTTTTTAGAAGTTGCAGTAAATTAAAAAATGTTAATACATTCCGTTCCTTCAAGCAGGTATGACATACCTTTTTATATTTAAAGGGATCCTTGTGGTTTTATGCATCAAGTCTCACTCAACTGATTTTTTCAAATCGGTGTAGAATTGAAAGGAAAATATTCGGGTTAAGTTGGACGACGCACTGTCGGACGTCAGTGCAACAGCCACAGCACCTGCTTATCACAAGTCGTGTCAGATGAAGTGAAATTTTCGCTTTTATTACATACTTCATTTTTTAAGCAAGGTTATGTGGTCGAATCAGAAGCATTTGTTCCATGTAATGTAAGACTTGTTAATTTAATCTTCCAGTGACGATCAATTTTCCTTTTAATATTTTAATAGGTCACTCGAATAGTCATGTTTTGCACTCGGAGTCCATTTGCAGCAGAAGAGCCATCTTTGCTTAGAAGATATGCTGTTATGTGTTCTTTGGCTTCTTTTTCGTTTTCCTATCTCATTTAACTAAAAAATTAAATGTAATGTTACTCCGATGATTTGTTGTTAATGTTCGGGCAATATTTCTGTTGAAGTCTTTCGTCACATTTATTGAAATTCGGATTGAATTTGCTTGTTTCCTTGAGTCTTAGATTAAATAGTCACTTCTTTGTTCTTTTGACTATTCCTAGAAACTGTCGGAACTTAGCGACCCCATAGTTCTCGTTCTTGCTGATGCATTTTATCTAATATCCAACCCGAAAATATACTCTCAGCAATAATTTCGATGCAAGAATCACCTATGGCTTCTAGCGTCGAAGTATTCTTTTGATCGCTTCGACGATTATTTTCCACTTTATTATTTCTCTTCATGGAATATAACTCATTAACCGATTTCTTCAATAGTGGATAATTCTCCAAAATTTTCAATCAAAGCTGTTTTTATAACGTTGTTGTTTCCTGGAGTAATATCATAGTCTCTAACGGCTTGCAAGGCATCTCTTTTGAGGCAGGAAGTTAGATAATTCAATTTTTGAATATCTAGTATCGTTTTAAAATGCACTGCAGCGTCAAAGCTACTCTAGAATTCTCTCCATGATTTTGGATCAGCACTGAATGTTGGCAATAGTGATTGAGATTATTTAACTGTTGTCTAGCTATTTGCGATAATTCTTGTTACCGAGTGGTTCATTTATTCAGCCTTGGATTAGGCACTGCAATAAAAGTCATTCTTGTCATAAAGCCATAACAGCTTCTCTGCCATTGTTTACTAATTTTAAAATACTTTTAAAATTAGTAATTTTTAAAATTTTAAAATTAGTAAAATACTTTTAAAATTAAAAATTAATTAAAATACTCGTCGATCACCTCCGCATATTTTTCTCTTCTTTGTTTGGGGTTCGCGATGTTCTGGTTATATTCAGTCATTTTTCATTGGTTCATTCGATAGTGCCAGTCCTTGTCATCCAGCAGTTGCAGCATACTAAAGTACAACATAAATGCTGTTCCGCTCCTAGTCCTTGCAAAAGTCTCTTAAGTTGTAGAATATGCTCTCTAAATGAAACATTTTGTGACACGGAATGCACTTTGCAAATTTGTTTTTGCTATTATTCCTCTCGTATTATTCTTTGCAAGACTTAACCTTATCCGCTGCATTGCTTAAATTTAAAAATTTTATCTACAAATATCGATTAGGGCCGCAGCTTCCCTGAACGTGTTTTTCTAAGTATTTTAAGTAACGTTTAATTTAGCAGAATATGAGCGTTGTAGTGTGTAGTGGTCTCAGTTTATGTTCGATAAAGTTCATCTTCAAACTCTGTTTACCGCATTTCGGTCTTATCTCGTATGTACTGTATCACGAACAAAAGATAGCATAGTTTTACGTCATGCACCCAGAAAAATCATCATATGTATAAATAACAAAGCTTATTTGCAGGATAAACAAAATGCGATTGCTAAATGGATTAATGTCATTAATGCTACTGCTTATAAGTAGCCGTTTGTTATCTCTTCATTAACATTAACAGCACTTCTGGGATCGATGGTTTTTCCCACTGGTTTTTTTTCATAGTAATAATTTCATTCAGTGAAACGTTCAATTCCCTGATAAATGGAAATTTGTATATTGTTTCCTTTGCTTTTTTGGCACAGCAGTACTTCTAGCGGTTAGCATGTTCTGATCGTTTCCCAAACTTGCAGTTACCAACTGTTTCTATCGATAATATCAGTTGAGATTTACATTTTACAAGTTTTCTTCACTTCACTGATTATTGGTTTTTGTCAGCATTTTTTTTTCAGCAATAACAGTGGTGAAGCAGAATGAATAAATTACCGGAGGAGATGCTAAGAGCCGTCTTTGTTTACTTGCCAGGGTCAGATCTTCTGCCGGTATCCCTTACATGTCGCCGGTGGTTTAATTTATTAAAGGATTCTGTCCCAAGTATCAGTGCTATCCACATTTCTCTGGATATATCGGCTTGTTCAACTCGTCTTCTAGAAGCATCCCTATCGGAAGCAGCTCTTGCGGTATGTTTATGTCCCGGACATGCGCAAAAACACGCTGTTCTATTACAATCACTGTTTGAAGCTGCTGGTAAACAGCTTGCAACTTTAGCTGTCGAGGATAATCTTATACCAAAGGCTAGTTTTAGGTTTATTGTGAAATCTTATAAGCATGGATCGGGCTATGTTAATAAGATGATCATCCAGTTTTCATGCTGAGAGTCCAGTGCTTTTTGTCTCGCAGTAGATCGAAATGATTTAGCCGAGAAAGCTACAGAATGTATTTTAAGTCACTTGCTAGCTTATACTGCTGATTTACTAACACCTCAGTTTCCTACAATCGAATTTCAGGAAGGAATGGAGACCCAAATTCCGGATATGACTGTTCACGCACTGCTTAACAGTATGCCGAAGTGCTTACGGGCTTTACATTTCCAGGGCGTTGATTTCTCGAAAGTTAGACCATGGACATTTGCGCTACTCGTAAAATTTAAATCCTTAGAAGAACTGTATATACTGGATGCAGTGCTCCCAATTGACAATGAATCTTTGTTCGCTAGAATGATTTCTCCATCGTTCGATACCTTAACAAACATTTCTGTTACTAATAATGCGCAGGTCAACTAACTCTTTTTACATACTTTCAGATAACTAGGAAGCTATGAAATTAGATTTTTGCAAAACAGGAATTTCTAAGAGTTCGCATGAAATTCAGGTGGGAGTAAGAAGGTGGTTCTTGGGAATGGCGAGATTTAATTTAGGTATAATATTTTTCAGGTGAACATATAAAATTTCAGGAATTGAAAGGTTGTCAATTTTGAGCTTAAACTCTGTAGAGTTTTTCAACTTAATTTAATATTTCCACTGTAATTCATCGCGAAATTTCAACAGGACCGATTAGATATAAAATATTTTTGCATAAAATACTAAGCCAAATTTTACATTTTCATACAGTACTTTCGATGGCCTCAAAAACTTTTCTTTTTTAATTTGTAAAATGAGTAGGGACATGGAGTATCCAACATCAGTTTATGAGGAAAATGATAATATATCGGTATATGGTATGAGTATCTTGGAATCACTACTTGATAGCATAGAGAATTTTGTTAGTTTTTCAAATCTTAGATCACGGATAAGTTCGTGTCTACACTGGCGCGACGTTGTCCCATCTTGCAAACCGTAAATTTGAATGGATGTAAGCGTATTACTTCATTATCTGTGCTTGCTTTTGCTGAAAATGCGTCGCATCGAATTACGGAACTAACGTTTATTCATGTCCAGGCAACGATGTTTAATCCTAACTTGGTAAGTTTAGAAGAAAAAAATTTTGTGGTGAATAGATTTTGATCGTTATACACATTAAATCTGTTTACTCATTCATTTTGAATTTTGAGACTGTCATTTGACGAGAGTATTTACAAATTAAGTATGGGAATTCATTTCAACGCACAAAAAACATTCCTTATTCTAAAAATATTGCTGAGACCTTCCCGAATCCACGCGGAGAGTGCTTTAAAGATTTGATTTATCGACTCTGAATTTTGTAACTTGTATTTACTTTACTGTGTGCAGACAGAATACGATCATTATTTTTGGTCTTTTCCTAACGTTATTTAGTCCTAATTTCTGATAATGTTTAACTGCTAATTAAATTTGCTTTATTCTGCAAATATTTTTTGCTGAACCTGTCAGCTCCTCTTCAGCTGCAACGATATTTGTCATCACCACTACTAACTGGTGGAAATTACTGGAGAGCAAATGCCCTGAAACTGGAAATAGGATTTCAGCATGATGCAATTTGTTTGGAGAATATTTGTCGCACCAATTTGTCCATAATCGTCTTTATTTGACGGATCTCGAAACCGAGCACATCGTGACATTGTTCATATTCCTTCCATAATAAAGTGAAACTTTTTTTTTGCTCCAGATCACCGCTTTTTCTGATAAAGAAGTAGATTTCTAGTTTTCTGGTTTCTTTTTCTCTGTATTTTGTTTTGCACTTTTTTTTGCAGTTAGCTCTGCTCTTTTATCGCATTCATGTTTCCATCGCTTAAACACGTATTTATTTTTACCGTGAAATACAAAATCTATCGTTGTAATTCCTCGGCAATATCTAGTAATATGAGAAACATTATGTTTCATTATTGTTAAATTAAATGCCAACTTTCAATTTTCCAAAAAAAAATAAAACTCACCAAAAATATATTTACAGTATTCATGTGGGACTGCTACATTATCATAGCACGGTTCTAATGAATACGTAAAAGCAATTCCGTCATTTCTTAGATTTTTTTTATTATAGAAGCTGAAATTTTCCTACACATAGCTTGTTTCCTGATAAAGCTTGACAAGGCAGGTCCATTATGCTGGCAATTTCTTTACAAGCGCTGGAAACCTAACAATTTTTCGACTTAGCTTGTAAACATGAAGGAAATCTGTTGTCCAAACTTTTCATAGCTAACACCGTGACAATCTTCTGCAGAAATGTGCGGAATATATCTGAACATCGAAGAGGATCTCCACCATTTCTGCTTCAGACGATATGGTTTTCAATGCAACTGAGCGAAGTGCCATTTAGGTCAAGTATGCAAAGGAAGTGGGTCTAAAAATCAATCAATGATGCAAAATAGCGCGGCCATCAACAGCATTATAAGTTTACGGAGATGACGTTACCGTTACCGTGGAAGGATTCAACACACGACTACTTCATTTGGAAGTTAGACGTCTACCCTCCGAAACAATTTCGTAATAAAGGGTTGCCAGTTGTTACTTTATTCTGACGTTGTATAATAAGTCCCAAGATTCATTACAAATGTACAAACTTCTAATTTCAGTAGTTTTATGATGAAGACACTCGTATGAGTCCTGTCTATATACAAAACACGGCACAGATATTTAAGACATCGGAGATTTAGAAAACGTAAAAAATCAGAAATTATTTCACAAAGAGTTGCATAGATTGTTTTACACCTGAGCATGCTTCAGTTTCAGTCATCTTGCAGCTCAATAGCATAACAGTCGAAAAAAAATGAACACAGTGGACGAAAACAATGTAGGAAAAAGCTATAACTTATAAAACATGTCA